TGATGCCCTTTGAAAAATACCTATTTTCCCTCCACTATTCCACTATTTTGTTAATATGCAACTGTAAAATATATACAAAATAAGACTTTTTACTTTTAGTTACATGCCCACATGTAGGTAATACTAACGCAAGAGATTAGTTTCTATGCATAGTATATCAAAGATACACGTAATAATTAAGTGGTTAACTGAGTACACATATTGATTTGAATTTGTGTTGCAAAACTGCTTTATGGAATTTTCAATTTCAAAAGTACAGCTAATGTCCGATAACAAAATCACTACTGAGTCACCGGCAGATATAAATGTCAAATAAAAAGCAGCGTATATAGCAGTTATAGCGCGAGACACTACTATCATGAAAATTAGCTCAAAAGGTATTCCAGAGAGAATGACTAACGCTACATATCCTCAATCAATCTTTGAACAAATAATTCAGAAATCGAGTCAGAAAGCATCATGTGACATGACAGACAGATGATGAAGATTAGCATATCGAATACAGTGTAAGGCTTCCTTGTATTCTGGTGAGCTACTTTGTATTAGACTAGTCAATGTATTACATGCACAATATAGCCTAATGGTACATTTATTCAAATTACCGGGTAATAATACAAGAAACTGGTACTTGCAAATTACGGCGTGTATATGAAAATGCAGCTGTCAGACAATCTATTTAATCTAATTATTGTAATGCAGATATCAAATCAAAATATCAAATATATCATGTAGATATCAACAACAACAACAAATTAGCTGAAAACATAGTTGATCATTTGAAACTCAAATCAGATAATGTTCCCTTGACAATAAAATTATGCAAATTGAATTCTATAGGATGTTGGCAGTTAATTTTTTGTATTCATAGGATTGACCATGAGAAAAATACATTTCAAATGTTATCGAAACAGGTTTTTGGTCATTTTATCAAATCACCTGCTGATTATTTTTTTCATCCTTGGATGCTTTCAGCAGGCAATGTGTTGAGATTATATATTGCAGACTGAGCATAGATTTTACTTCAGATATCTAACATCCTAAGGGGTGATTTCGTTGATGTATTGTGTTCGAAAGAAGGAGTATTTTCTGTAGGTGGCAAACTATGTAAGCGCTTAAGTAAATGTTGTTTTTGAATGGAGTATGAATGAAGGATTATTTTATGCTTGGTACATTTCAACATCACCTGCTGATGCCAATTTTTTCCATTCATTAAAAATTGAATTATAAATAATGCACTCTGAAATTATCACCCTTGACATCAATACATCAATGTGGCTAGTGGATATCTAAATAAAATTAATTATAAGCTTCTCATGTCGTTTTGGAGATATTGTCTAGACACCCATGAAAGTATGGGGAATACAACACTTCTGGATGGCCACCAAACGAGCGAAGTTACAATTTAGATATCTGCATTTTAATTCTTCTTGTCCCAAACTATAGGACTACACTTGTATTTAGCCCTTTATGACATTTTTGGTTAATCGAATATGGTGGCCAAACTATGTAAGTGACAATCATATTGAGCTTGTTAGATTTCAATGGATTAAATACACACACTGTATTTGCTCTATTACAAGTATTTAGCCCTTTATGACATTTTTGGTTAATCGAATATGGTGGCCAAACTATGTAAGTGACAATCATATTGAGCTTGTTAGATTTCAATGGATTAAATACACACACTGTATTTGCTCTATTACAAGTGTATCTCCAATAAAGTGCATGTAAGCCAACAACTGCATAGTAAACTGGATTTTTAAAATAGGATATATTTTGACCATCACACACCTGCTGTTTAAATACATAAATGCACTTCAAATAGAGCAAATATGGTATTCTAAACAAACCAAATTACACTGAAATGAATTAGCAGTTCTGAAGAAAATAATTTGTTTAAGTTTGCAGTGGATTTGTTTTGTTTTTAAAAATCATTATTATTGAATAGTCGTTATATTATGAATGAACAATTCAGTAATATTAAACTTCAAAAAAAGTTTATATTCTTGCATGAAAATTAAAGATGGCACTAATTATATACCAGCAATAATTGATTTTACAGGGAAAAAAGTGTTTTTTTATTCCATCAATTTCTGGCCACTTGTTTTTTCTATCCTCATAATTCAAGATCATAATTATCAAATAGTGGCAGATCAATCAGTTACTGTGAAATCACTTTCTAAGGCATTTGATTTTTCATTATCAAATACAGAGACCAAACCAATTATATATTTTCCGTACATCAGCAAAGTTAAGCCATATCAAATTTCAAACAAATCTGAGAAGTAATTCTTAAAGACAGGATTGATGTTTATTGTTGTGATTGGCCATTTGTTAACATACTAAATAGATAGCTATATCAAATATTTCAAGTTTCTAAAGAAAATCTGGTAAGTAAGAATACTATAAAAACAATTGAAATTATTGAATACTACCCAGTAAATAATGTTTAACATTTGAACTGGCTGAGTAAAAACCAGTGATTACAAAAATCTTTAGATCATGATGGCATACATGATGCATTATTTGTTGTCAAAATGCAAAATTTCTCAAAAAACTCAATCACTTGTGGTTGTGTGACGACCCACAAAAAACTGATTTTGAGTAGAACTGACTTTTGCTATCATCACAAAAGCTGTTAAAAATTTGTAAGTACTTGTTTAACCTTTTAAAAAGGGGTATTTTTTCGCAAAATCAATGCCAACATATCATACTGCAACTTTGACCATAAAAATATAAAGAACTTGCTTCCAGGATACGATTTGTTGCTTTCAATACTATGAAGATGTCAGTAGTACCATGCAGTATTCTGATTGGTTAATGGCATTGTTGAACTTGTGTTTAAAAAAGCATGGTGGATTTTTAGCATTTGTACAGAACCAATCAAGTGTTCTAAAACATGTCTTCACAATAGAACAAAGTTTACATATATTTCACAGTCAACCAAAGAAATAATTTTGTTGGTATCAAACCATGACTAAATAAAAAGCAATGCTGTTTAATAGAACGTCAAAAAACAAGTTATTTTTGTGTGTATGTCTACAGTTTGCATGATGTTTACATTCTGCCAGTGTGAATGTTCCTAACATTGCCTACTATCAGTTGAAGGTTTTTGTTTTTATGAATTAAAAGCCTAAAATTAGGGTCAATCTACTGGTTCAAAAATTTGATGGAATTTTAGAGAACTAATTCAGCATAATTCTGTAATTTTTGAAGCCACTAAATTACGGAAATTTGCTAAATAATTGGGTGGTAGAATGTTCAGATTAGGTGACATTTACAGTAATAGAGCTCAGTTTCAGTTTCAAGATGGAACAAGACGTAAGTGATTCTCAAACTTTACATATATGCTAAAAACCAAAAATGCAGATCAGGAAAAGCATTTTAAAGCATTTTCTGCAGTTGTTCGAAAAATGCAATATGGCAGAATAAGTCACATGAGTCAAAGTTTCTAATCTTGACATAATTGATGTTTTAATAATACAGAGTTTCAATGATGCTGATAAATTTAATGATAGGAAAAACAAAAGTGAATTAGATCAAGAAAAAATTATGAGCGATACTACAGCGATACTAAAAGTTGGATGTATGAAATAAATGACAATACCTCCACAGATTAAACTTTTTTGATATTGCATTGCTTTCTCTCAATCACTGTATAATTGGAATTACTGAAAATAGTTTATATAAACTTAATACAGACAACAAGAATGTGTACCTCCCCCCTTGTAAGTTGTTTATACTCCCAACAACGCTAATAAGACTTGCAATCATATAAATGTTAATGAAGGGCTTCAGTTTGTATGACTATCTACAAATACAATGGCTTTTATTGAAGAGAGAAATGAGCAAAAATACTTGTATTGGATTAAAATTTATACATGTCTTGTACATGTCTTTCGCAAAATCAATTAAATTATTGGAAATGGCAATTCAGATATACAGATCTCGTAACATATGAAATTCAAAAGAATCGATTGGGATAATTATTGAAATATTCACTGTTAGTGATATCATGTCAACATGAAACCAGAAGCACACCAAATGATGGGATGTTCAGAGTGTTGGAATGTTACTCCTGTATGAGTATTGTTATTACTGAATTACATATTTATTTTTAGGGCTTATTTGTTGGGTTTTATTTTCCTCTTTTCGCACTGACAAGTAATTAAAATCTAGTGACTATTCGTCCTTCGGTAATGTGTATTGATTGATGTTACAATTCAAAGAAAAACCACTTGAACACTTGTGTTTTTTGGGAATAACTTATCTCGAAGGTCGAAGGTCAAGTTTACTATTTACAATTACCACCAAAAATTGTAAAATGGAATGAATGAATGAATAAATAAATAAATAAAATCGAAGTCCATCAACGAGTTAAATATTTAAAAAACAAAAACAACTTCAACTGTAATTTGACAATATAAATTTTATTTTGAATCAAGCATTCAAATGAGACGTGTCAGGTCAATACAAACGTTGTCTGGCGTGCCGACAGTGTATGTGACATGACTACATGTTCTTAGACTTCTCTGTATTCTCGTCATGACGTTTCTATTCCCTTCTGAATCCCTGCTTTTCTAATGACGATGGGAAATCGGCAACAAAAAAGAAGATTACATTTGAACCTTCGCAATTTGTGAGTGACATGACAATTCACATACAATGTGACAGATTTCGGAAGATTTTTCAATTTAACCGGCCGACCTAGAAGGGAAGGACGTCGATCAGACAGAACACTGTAGTAGAATCGTCTGATCAGTTTATCGTATTCGCCGTCCGAATCTAGTCAGTCGGCGTTTGAATGAAAGACTGACGGATTCTCGTACATCGTTGGGAAATGATAAACACACAAACAGAAAACCCTATTGGTGAAAACACGCATCCAAACTTCAGTAAAACACGAGAATAGCAAAATTCATAGTTTTGCCCTCAAAATTCACACCCACAAATCACAGATTCAGTTCAATACCCGGCATTTTGAGGGTCATTCTACTCACCGCTCTGTTCACCAAGGAAAACCAGCTTGAATTTTCGTAACGGATTCCCAAAATCTCCCGAAGAAGACATTCTAACGATGGGTGTTAATTAAAACTGTTCTACTAAAATATTTCAGTCGCTTTGGACCAAGAATCGTAGAAATATTCAGACACAAAATCCAAGATATCCAACAGAATTATCGCCGCCACGTTTGGAGCCTCGTTCTCATTCACGGAATATGCGCACTCGTTAAAAATGTCGTCACTGTACAGGGTTCGGGGATCAGGGGGCAAGTCCATTGTTGCTACAGGTGTGTCTTGGTGCACGGATATGGTTAAAAAATGACTCACTTCGAAAGTGCGTCGCCAGTGACATCAGTATTACTCATTGGTTAGACGCTTCCAGTTCCACACATACATTTTATTTGTCACCAAGTCACATCATAACAATTTTAACATTGTGACTCACACATCTAAATCATTCGCAAAAGTTTTGTTTCAACTACAGGATTTGTGTCTCCCGATATTGCATGTATGACTGCGCGTTTCTGGTATTTGTGTTGTGTGTTTAATTGTTATTGAAAACGACGTTTTCCCAAATGATATAGTATTGCCATAAATATACATGCATCGTACAGTACCAGCAGCTGTAACAGCTTGAACACTTTAATAATATCGACAATAACACACAATATACATCGAGACATGTAGACTTGTTGTGTTCAACTTCAATGAACTGATAATAACCAGATTTAGTTGTTATTTTAAAAATGGTATTTACTATAAGGTATCCGGTTATTTTGAATTATTATTAAGGCCTACTATTACGGACTGCCATTTCCAATATATCATGTTGGCAGCTGTTGCATAGTTTCTATTTTTATTTCGATTTTCACTTGCATATTTATTCAATACATATCTAAACATTGATATATTTTCAGTGAATGTTTCTATGACGATTGATAGGATATACTCCAGTATAATATATTATAATGTTGTACAATGAAAAACCTTTGAAAAAAAAAGATTTGCAAAAAATCAATTCTGGGTGGCATAACAAGGTATTATTAAGTATAGCTGCAAGCAGGAGTGATTGGCTTCGGCTCAATCTCTGTGAATTAAGTATGTGCATAAATAATGAGGACATGCCAACCATGTATCAAAATAACGTTGTTTCACACAGACGGTATCCAGTTAGCAGTAAATTTGCATCTGAAATTGACATGTGAGAATTGTTTAGGTCAGGCGAAACCCTCAGCTAATAGTGTATGTATAACAAATATGTCAAAAGGCCAACGGTTAAGTTCAGTTTATGCATTTCCATACTGTGCATTATGTCAAAATGGAAAATAGCCAGTGCCTACAAACTTAGCACACACATTAATTACTGAGCAGTTCCCAGTGATCTGGCAACATTTTGGGTCAATATGTTTTTACAATATACAATTACAATAAGGAAATTGCTTGCAAAACCAGGTTACATCTTTTGTATTTAAAACATTTTTTATTGAGTCAATTTACATAAGCACTTTACATAGTTACATGTATATGTACCAAAAAATTACATTGCACAACAGACAAGTACAAAGTCTCCACAAAAATATTACAATTTTTTCAGGTAGTCATGTTGATATGCTAGGTCGTTGCTACAATTTTCATAAATTTTCCCCATTTACCTTTACTGTTTGCAATCAAGTACTCAGTTTTCTGCACCCTTTGCACGAAGTCTTTAAATTCCTCAAATTTTGGTTTGTTACCCTGACATCTGCAAATATAAATAAACCTCCTGGCTACCAAAAGCAAAAGGTTTAACAGGAGGGGGAGTAGACTATCACCAAACAAGAAGCATTCTGGGTCGTTTACCCGAGGGAAACTCAGTTTTGTCCCCGATATCTCAAAGAATGTATCCCAAAATAATTTTACTATTGGACATTCATAGAAAAGATGAAGCAGATTTTCGTCAGGCCCCTTACAGAATTTAGAGCCCTCGCCATAAATTTTTTAACCATGGCCAAAATTTGTATAAAATCTGCTG